GATCCTGGCTCAGTATAAGCAGCCATCCACCACGGCTCACTGGGGATGGAGAAGACAGAGCACACACATGGACACACTAACACTCACGCGTCCACACTGAAAGACACCCCCCCCCCCCCCCCCCCCACACACACACACACACACACACACACACACACCAACATACACTCACTTAAAAGATTATCAGGAACTCTATCAAAAGCCTTTTCTGCATCTAGAGATAATATACTAGTTTAAATATTTCTACTGTAAGAGAAATCTATCAAATTAAGTAATCTACATGAGTTTGTGGATGACTGTTTACCCTTGATGAAACCAGTTTGGTCAGGGTGTATTATGAAGGGGGTTACCTTCTCTAATCTTTTTGCCAGGGCTTTACAAATTATTTTGAGATCAACATTAATAAGAGAAATTGGGCGATAGCTGGTAGGAAATGCAGGGTCTTTGCCTGGTTTTAACAAGAGACTAATATTGGCTGAATTCATGTTTGGCTGTAATCTGCCGCTCTCTTCGATTTCCCTCACCATTCTGAAAAACATTGGAGCCAGAATGATCCAGAATTCTTTGTAGAACTCAACTGGGAACCCGTCTGAACCTGGAGCTTTCCTATTAGTCATGGATTTAAGGGCTTCCTGGAGCTCCGCTGATGTTAGTGGCGAGTCCAGGACTGTAACTTGGCTGTCTGATAATTTAGGAAGTGTTATCCTGTCAAGGAACTCATCGATCTCATTATCTGATGGGTTTATCTGTGGTGAGTACAAAGTTTGGTAAAAGTCTCTGAAAGTGTTGTTTATTCTTTCAGGGTCATAAACTATATTCCCGGTTGAGTCTTTAACAGCAGACATGGTAGTTTTCTCTTTATTTATTTTTAACTGGCTAGCCAAAAATTTACCTGATTTATTACTATGTTCAGTTTTCTATTCGTAGTCTTTGTGCTAAAAATTGTGTCTTTTTGTCAATAATTCCATGAAGTTCTAATTTAGCTTTACGTAATTTGCTCATTAACTCTTCTTCTGTGGATGCCTCTAAAGACTTAATGATTTCTTCTAACTCCTGAATACGTTTGTTTTCCGTTTTTTTCTTATGTGATGAGAAAGAGATTATTTTACCTCTCATCACTGCATTTCCTGCCTCCCAGAGAATAGATGCTGATGTTCCAGGCAGGTCATTATGTTCTAAATATAAAGCCCACTCCTTTTTAAAAAATCTATAAAACCTTCGTCTTTGAGCAGTGATGTATTAAACCTCCAGTTTTTGCTTGGTGGGATTGTCTTCTTGTTTACCAGAGTTAAAGAAACCGGAGCATGGTCGCTGACAACTATGGGGTGTATCTCAGTGTCTGAAATGTCAGCCACCAATGAGCTGCTGACTAGAAAATAATCCAAAACTTGAATGAGAGTGATGGACGTGTGAGAAAAAAGTATACTCTCTACGGTTAGGATGAAGAGATCGCCATGCATCACAAAGCCCATAATCACTCATGTACTGTTTAACTATGTTAGTGGATTGCCAATTGCGCTGAGTCCCAGCTGTACTGAGCCTGTCTGTTAAGGAATTCATCCAAAAATTAAAATCACCTCCAAGTATAAGTGGACAGTCCAAGTGTTCGGAGAGTACAGAGAAAATTTATGAAAGAATGGAGGGTCATCAATATTTGGACAGTATATGCTGACAATACATAAGCGTTGGTTCTGTACAGATAATTTTAACATTATAAATCTACCCTCTGGATCAGAGACTGTGTCCAATACTGTGAAATTGATGTTTTTGTGTATTAAAATAGCTACACCTCTTTGGCTAGAGTTATAGCAGGCAGAGAGCATGCTGGGAAACTCAGGTGTTTTAAGTTCATCTGCAGATGTGGCAGATCTATGAGTCTCTTGTAATAATATTACGTCTGCTTGCACTCTCTTTGGCTGATCAAAAATCTTTAATCTTTTCTCTATGGAGCCAGCTCCATGTACGTTCCATGAGACAAATCTTAGTGCACCCATAGATGTGTGTGTGAGTAGCTAAAATATGACGCCTTCATGTGAATAAGATGGAATAAGTATATAAATGTATAAATAGTATGTTAATAAATAACAGAAAAGTAAATAATAATAATAATAATAATAAAGATCCAACAGTGTTTGTGGTTGTATTATTTGACGCATAAATTATGATATGGTGTGTGTGTGTGTGTGTGTGTGTGTGTGTGTGTGTGTGTGTGTGTGTGTGTGTGTGTGTGTGTGTGTGTGTGTGTGTCGAGTCTGACGCAGTGTTGGAAAGTTGTGTGGTTGTGCCATACAGGTGTAAAGGTGCAGAAGCAGGTAAAGAGGAAAGGAAAATACAGATACAGGTTAAAAAAAGAAGAAAGAACTAAAAAGAAAAGGTGGTAGGGGTGTGAAGTGGTGATGAACAGGTGATCTCATAATCTAGAACACGGATCTAGCAGCTGTTTAATCCTGACGTGATCAAACCCAGTGAATCCTGATAAGAATAATAAATGTCTGACCTGATGTTGGGCTAAAACAGCCAGTCTGTCACTCCTCGCTCCTTGTAAAGCTTATTGTCCACATAAAGCTTATCCACCGAGATGACAGCTCTCTTCCCATACTGGATAAACTTTTTGCGCAGCGGAAAGAGGACTCGGCGCCGATCCAGGATTTCCTTAGGGAACTGGTCATTTACGCTGAAATCTTTCCCTTTGAGCTCTCTTCCGTGACTTTTAACAAGATCCTTCTGCTTAAAATGTTCAAATTTAGCCACAACGGGACGAGGTCTTCTGCTGTCCACTTGTCTAGCTCCAAGGCGATGTACCCGGTGAAATGTGATGTTTTTTACCGTTTCTTCGGGTATATATTTCCTGTTTTTGTTCATGTCCATAAATACTTAAATGGTAAATGGCCTGTATTTGTATAGCGCCTTCTTAGGGTTCTACGACCCCCCAAGGCGCTTCACAACACAATCAGTCATTCACCCATTCACACACACATTCACACACTGATGGTGATGAGCTACAATGTAGCCACAGCTGCCCTGGGGCACGCTGACAGAGGCGAGGCTGCCGAGCACAGGCGCCACCGGTCCCTCTGACCACCACCAGCAGGCAACGTGGGTTAAGTGTCTTGCCCAAGGACACAACAGCAGAATTCTCTGGTCAGAGCCGGGATCGAACCTGCAACCTTCCGATTACTGGACAACCCACTCTATCTCCTGAGCTACTGCTGCCCCATGCTTGAAATTAAAACAAGCTTTTAACAGTGAGGTGCTAGTTTAATCCATCACAATATAGCTAGTTAAACATGCAACAATGTGATAATTCAATTAATGTAATTTATAAATATCCATTAAAATATAAAAACTGGAATCAAAATGAGACATTTGGCAGCTCACAAAAAAACTTGTCAAACACAATATTTATTATAATAATTGTAGGCAGACAGGAGACAGAGCTGATGGAGGTTCTCAGTCATCGAAGGATGGCTGAAGACTTTCCAGGAACAGGAGATGTGGTGTTGTCTCTTCTCTCTCTATTCTGCCAGATGAGCTGATAGGCTGCAGGTGTGTGAGGACATACCGTAATTTCTGGCCTACAAGCGGCTATTATTTCGCTGTGCTTTGAAGCCTGTGGCCAATATCATGGTGCGGCTCATGTGTAGATTTTTGTTGGCCAACAACCTAGAGGCACTCTCCAGTGGTAAAGTGAGACAGGCACGGCAAAACGTTAAGCACGGAAGAAGGCGCTCTTTGATTTAAAGCGGCACGTTTACACATCAGACACACCCTCGTCATGGAAAACACATGGAGGAATGCATATGCTGCAGTTAAAAGTGATCGATCTGGCCATCAAACAAGGAAACAGAGCCACTGCACGGGAGCTTGGCATAAATTAATCAATGGTGCGACGTTGGAGGCGGCAGCGGTAAGAACTCAGTCAATGTAAAAAAAAAAAAAAAGCTTTCAGAGGAAATAAAAGCAGATGGCCGGAATTGGAAAACATTCTTGAAGACTGGGTGAACACACAAAGAACAGACGGCCGAGGTGTTTCCACTGTTTCCACTGTGCAGATCATTTTTTTCTTCCAGCACTCGCAGAGTACAGACGCTTCTGCTTTTGCTCCCTTATCTTTTTTTCCCAAGGCTCTTGGTCCTGTCTGCCCACAGAGCGCTTCTCTGCATTTCTTCTGAAACACCCTATTTTTAGAATGGATTTAATTAATTGGTCATTCAACGCGATTGACAAGATTTTTTCTACGATAAGAACGGAGGAGGGGGCTCCAACTTGCCTGCAAGGGACACACACAGCGGGATATATACTCGATTCCTGGAGGGAGTGGAAGATCGTATGCCTCTCTCAGTTGTCCATTGAGGACGTTGAAGACGTGTGGATATTTGGCACTGGATTTCTTCTGATTGGAGTGGGAGGATATCTGGTTTTCTGGAAATTTGGGAAGACGGGAGCGATTGGAGGGCGACCCGCACCCATGGAAAGCACCGTCCGGGTGGAGACCTCACAGACTGGGACGTTACTCGAGGTGAATCGTAAGCTGGACAATGTTCTAGCTGCGTTACCGGTATTAGTGCGCAAAATGTATGTCATCTCGGAGAGGGTCACCGGACGGTGTGGAGATGTTTAAAACCTGAATTGGCTTCACTGGAGGACTTGAATGATCAGTTACAGACTTCAAGGCAGAGAGGAAAATTATCTCTGCCTGACCCAAACAAAGTATTGTTATCCGAATCTGACGCCATGGCAGCCTTGTGAATGCCAACAACAAACCCCCACGAAGGAATGCAGACAGATGCTGTGAAAACCCGACCTACCCCCCCCTACCCCCACCCCCCACCACCCGCCTTCGGATTGGTGGACATCAGCCTGGCGAGGTCATCAACCTGCAGGTGTCAATGTGCTCTGCGCTCCTCTCAAGATCTCCCTCCCAGCTGTGGCTACAGTGGCTGAGCGCCATAGGGCTGCTCTCGCTGGGGAAACAGGATCCCAGCCCCCCCCCCCCAGGACAGTAATAATAATAATAATATGTGGTGTTGCTCACCTTATGTGCTCTTATAGAGTATTAACGTGTGCCTGCCTCATGGTGTAGTGACCATATTTTGATGAGTGTCCTGCAATAATGCAAGTTATTAGTTAATTTACTTTTAATAGCAAAAACCAAAATATTTAATTTACATGTTGTTTACCAGGTGAATCAGCTCACACGTCACCACCAAGTGTCACAGGACCAGAATCAGTAGTCTCCTTCATGATGTCATGATGTAATCTAGCTCCAAGCTCATAGCAGCAACACACGTGTAGCAATAAGATATAAAACAAAAACATAGATGATGTTAAAACTCAAAGGCTGTAATGAAGATTACATGATGATTAAAAACAACTCACCTTTACTACACCTGCAAGGCTTCATGTTAGTCTGGACCATTTGTAGCTGCAACAGTCAGTCTGACAGCAGAGTTCTTGGGTTCATTTAGCCTGAAAGAAACAAATTATATATAACATCACAGTGTTGTGGGAGGTCGCTTCCAGAGATGATGAGAAACATGTGGAGAGCAGAGCAAGGATGGAGCTACAGGTTTTTCTGTTAGATCAGGAGGCCCCGAGGTAAAATGGGATGTTGGTGTGAGCCTGGGAAGATACTCCTCTCCAGTGGTGACCTGCCAGGCTGAGATGTAAGGAAAAAACAGAATACAGAGTACAATATTATTATTTAGAATGTTTTTACCTGGATCAGTTCATGGAGCTTGTCCTGTCATTCAGACGGAAGCTGCTCAGAAGTTCTCCACCACACCTGGGTCTGTTCAGGAGTGTAGAAGCTGCTCTGGGTGGAATTCCCATCATGGTCCCAGTGTCAGACACACAGCTGCTGGGAGGCTATGTGAAATATAAAGAAACAGCAAATATATTTATAGTTGTTTTTAAGAGCAGTAACACACGTGTGTAACGATAAGCTAAAATAATTACATGTTAAAACTAGAAGGTAAAGAGAGACAGATGGTTAAATAACTCATCTGCAAGGCTCTAGCCTGGACCGTTGCAGGCTGGTGCAGGACTACATCAGTCTGACAGCAGATTTATTGGGCAGATTTAGCCTGAAAATAATAATAACATCACCTTGTTGTGGGAGTTTAGTAACTTAGATCATGTACAAAACAAGCTGTCTAATATATGTGCTTCATAACATGGCTGGGGAGTGATCTAACTGCTCTCAAAGCCAACTCAGGGTCCAGAATCAGACCTGTTCTAATGAGAACTGGACTCAGCACCCATTCAGAACCAGGTCAGGTCTGCTGCAGGAGGAGCACAGTGTCCCTCCTGACATCCCCTTGGCCAAGCAGCCAGAGCGCATGATCAATCGGGACACTGACAGGACGCTCACAGTGCCTCATAGAGCTGCAAAATTATATGTAGGGAATGATCTTTAGAAGCTGTTAAAAGTAATTATTTAGCTTACTCATTTCAAATTGGGCCCAAAATCTCCGTTTTGAGGAAGCAGCAGTCGGCGGGATCCGGCTAATTACTGGAACAGTTTGGACTAATTTGTGAAATGCTCTTCAAACCAGCATAACCAGTTCAAGCTCCACCAAGTTGGTGAAAGAGTCTGACATAAAAAATACTAAACTGCAAAATCTAACAGCCAAGCTACTCAAACTAAATAATCTTAATACTAGAAGTTTTGCTAGGACTCTGACACAATGCTAATGCTAACTACAGCACAACTCACTTACCAGCCCGACTGCTACAAGGCTGGTTGAGACCGCGGTGCTTTTATAACCTACAGCCACAGAGCTGTTACGTAGTACTGTTCTTGGAAACGTAGCATCGTGCTCGTTAGCCATTGGTTACATCAGACTCAACTTAAACGTGCTCCAGACCTTTGAGCTGAAGATGGTGCTAGACTGACATTTTTAGACAGAATTTAGAGTTTTCAAAGAAAATGCATCAAAATGCAAAAATAATAACTACACATGTCTACAACACTATTAGACACTCATTTATACTAGTTATCAACTAAAAAAGTTAATTTTGATGTGAGTTGCTCTTTGAAGAACTTGACCTTTCTCTAGTTAGATAAGAAAACCCCATAGACCCTAAGTGAACACCTGTTGGCAAACTTTGCTTCATTACGCAAGGAAAGTCAATTAATTAAAAAATGTGGTCTGAACTACACAAAACTCTCTCATTTCAGCGAGTAAATTCTTTATTAGCTACAAAACAAGACATTTTATTTAAAAATAACACATGATAGATTTAACCCAACTAAACATTTTGTTCAACAAGATTTAATCATGGCATTGATGCATCTTGGTCCTTCTGTACCTGTCCTCGGAGACCATGGCCCATCTCTTTGGGCATTGTTTTGTTACCAAAAAAAAAACTTTCGGAAAGACGCCACTGCTTAAATGACTTTTTTGTGTGATTTAAAAAGATTATTTTTGACAGATCATGTTGCACTACATATTTTACCTGATTTTGTTTCTCTCAGAGTTCTTTCTACACAAATGTAAAGTAATACAAAACAATTTATTGTGTTTCTTAACCACTGTTACGAGCATGGGTAAGAAATATTTTTCATAAATATAGCTGATGAGCTGCCTTGCCTTGTCTTTTGCAGAGGATGGAACCAGTGACTGTAGGGAGAACTGGAATTCAGGATGCACAGCTACAGTGACGTAACATCCGGCGGGGCTGTTGGCGGGCAGAAGGGGGAGAAGGGGTCGATTGTTAGCGACGTGTTTCGGGCTATTGTACGGTTCCACATCAAGTAGAGACAGTTTCCTGCCGAACAGCATTTTGTTTTGTTTTTCTAGACATCTTTTGTGCTACCATATTGCTGCTTGTTGTCTGCACACGGTTATTTTACTGCGTTGGAAAGCAGGCCTGCCGTTTGCTTGCACAAGTGCAACAGAGGTTTCTCTACAGAGGTAAGGCTGCTGTTAGCTAACTTTTCGGTCGTAGCATGCCAGCCATGTTGTCTTCAGAACACAAGGGCGAGACGGCCGCTTGCTACGCCTGCGTGCATGTTTTGTGGAAAACACCGTTACGTCGTGCACATGTTGTAAGAGCGTGTTTTTATTGACAGTCCCGCAGTGAATTAGACGCCGTTCTGCAGTTGGCTTATGAGCAGGATCTAGCCTAGCGCGCGTGCTCGCAGGTTGCAGTTCGCTCGGCAAAATGTGTGAGCAACGCAATTGTTTTATTTAATGCATTTTGGGTGATATGTGCTTTAGTGATACTGTCTAAAGAATGCTGAACTAACTTTGATGCAGTTGTTCGTCTGTCTACAGTGATGCAACGTGTTAATCGGTGACCAGGGTTTCTAATGGTCAGACTCGTGCAGAGAACATGGTGGACGGTGTTTTTGTTCTTGTTCGAGCTATGAAAACTATTTTAGCGACAGAACCGAAACATGTGGATTTGCGGGTGGTGTGGCATCGAGGAAGCATAGATTAGTGTAGCCAGAGGCGCCGAGAGCCTGGTCAGTTTCATGCGGAGCACGGTATGGCCAGGTAAAGAGTAATTTATACGCGTTCATACTACAGTAACACCTGGTTTTGTTGCAGAGGGAGCACGTGAATGCAGCTGCACACGCGCGAGAGAGTGGTTTGGACTGAGATTTAACATCTGTTGATTTGTGAGCTTTGGAACTGATCACTTTTAAATTCCAGATGGGTTAACATCTGGAGTAGCACACGGATGTACATTGTATCTCTGCTTCAGTTAAACATTTCCACAGCCCTGCTCAGCATCACTGTTATCTCACACACACACACACACACACACACACACACACAGTAAAAAGTTGGAAATACACATTATTTATATGGGCCCAGTTTTACTTATTGGACCAATACCGAAATTGGTCACGTGATTTTTTTTTAATTGCGTGGCTCTAAGTTTATTTATTCTTTATTTAACCAGGAAGGTCCCATTGAGATTCAAAACCTAATTTTCAAGGGAGTCCTGGCCAAATAAAAAATTGTTTCTGTCTTAGTGCTGACATAGTGTGTGTCCATAGTTAAAACCAAAATAATTTGTTAATGTCTCCTTTTATGTGTTTTTTGGGATCCATGAGAAGTGATCTTCTCAGACATCAAACTGGCGACCGTAGCAGCAAAGAAGGGCAAGAAGCCCGAGGAGGAAGAGGAGCAGCCAGCAGTGGCAGCAGCACCGGCACCAGCTGCTCCACCAGCTGCTCCACCAGCTGCAGCTACACCTGCAGCTGCGCCTGCGGCTGCTGCAGAAGAAGAGGAGGAGGAAGAGTATGTGGTGGAGAAAGTCCTTGATCGCCGTTTGGTTAAGGGCAAAGTAGAGTTTCTGCTGAAATGGAAAGGATTCTCAGAGTGAGTATATAGCTCCTTTTACTCCCTATAATTCTAAATGTTGGTCCTTTCTCCACATCTGGAAAAGCACTTCAGGCTGAAGACCTGCTGGTGTGGGACTTCTATGGCTGTGCTGTGAAAACGATGCTCATGGAAGAAGCGTTTTATTTCTGCAATTGCAAACACTTGCATTTTAAAAGTACAGGGTTATTACTGTCATCTAGACCTGTTTACACTTAAGCTGCTTTATCGCGTGCACACTGTGGCTGTAAAAGTCGTGCAGTTTGATCCACGTGTGCAGGCTTTACTAGTTGCACACTAGGTCATCTTAAGAGGAGCTAGTTCAATTTGTTAGCTTGTTATCAGAATCATAGTTGCAGTTTCATCATCTGAGCTGTTTTTTAAGATCTAGGTAAACTTGTTCAATTTGGGGTTAAAAACAAAAGTTTTCACATATTTTCCATGTAGTTTTTTACCAGTTCCTCTTCTGAAAGGTAGACAATTGTTTTTCTCTTTCCCTCAGAAAATCTTAATATTCAGTTTGGCCCAGCACAGTTCACTTCCCAATTGCAGCAACAGCCTTATATCATAACCACATGAGTGGAGAAAATGTTCAGTAGCAATGAGAGAATTTGCTGTTGCATTTAAGTGATGTTAACTATTATTTAACATTTAAACTTACTTTCTGATTTTTTTTATTTATTCTAAAACCCTGGTAAGGGATGTTTTTCTGTATTTGGAGCATCAGAAAAAGTTTTATGGTGGAGGTGATGTTTTAAAGTCACTGAGAAACTGCATGCATGCAGTTTGTTGTTTTGCTGCTAATACAGTAGCAGGTGCAGCTGCTAATACAGTAGCAGGTGCAGCTGCATATTTGTGCAATAAAAATGTTATGTTGTAATGGAATTCATGCACTAGTTTTGTTTGCTTTGAGCCCAGAGCAGACGTCACACGCCAGACGACATCAACACTGCATACTTTAGTATTTGTTCATTTATCGTGAGTAATATCGATATCGCAATATTAAGTACTGTTATCGAATATCGCAGGTTTTCCTAATATCGTGCAGCCCTACTCTGAAACTTGTTTGATTTTGCACTTCGACTGCGTCTCAGTCTTTTTCCATGTAGAACTCAGGGAAAACCCACACGTGCTGAGGACAAAGCGTGACCAAATATGGTTAAATGATGGCGTTTCTGTATGAAAATGACTGAGAATCGACACGAGCTCCTGGGTACGCACAGGTTTATAGGAAGGAATTTAGGGCTTTTTCTATGAACGTTACATTTGATACATGAGGCCCCTGGGTTGATCTGCTTGATCATCTCTTTGAAACCTTGATCGCCGACCATGAACAAGAGTCTCGTGACCAACATGGCCTTGGTCAGGACGTTAGCTTGCTGAGTGTGCACGTAACAAACTCGCCCATTGAAGAGAACTTTTATTAACACTAACGTAGCAGGATGAAATAAATACGTGACATACAAACGTGTTCTAAAGATAATAACATTGCCACTGCTACTGGTGTTGCTACACTTATGAATACAAGTAGCTCTCTGTTGATGCTGCTCTTGCCTCACAGATGTGCTCCCGTAAAAGGAAAGGAGCGTTTTGCTCTGCAGAGTTTGTACTCTACAGGCCTTTCTTTTGTCTTTGCATAATGCTCCCAAACCCTTAAACTACCTTGCCGACTCTCCATGTCTTCTTTATCCAGTGATGAAGGCTGATCTGAATGGCTACTACTGCGCATTCGCCTCAGAGCTTAACACGGCAACTGACCCGGAAGGCAACCACTGCATGTGCATTGGGCAAAGAGGCAGGAAGCAACCGCTGAACGTGAATGACGTAAATGGCGCGTCGACTCTTTAATTGTTGGCTATTTCTTTTGTCGTCGTCGTGGTGACGAGTTGACTAATCGTGGCAGCCCTACTTCAGACCCAAACTACAATATTAGAAAAGGCATCGGGCCATCCAGCCCTTAAAGCCGAGCAGTTCCGCTACTGTCACAGTCATGGAGTTCTGCGCTTTTAACCAAAACACAAACATCGTTATTGACCATAGTTTTCCTGCGCTTGTGTCCAGTGAGGACAATACATGGGAGCCAGAGGAGAACTTGGACTGTCCAGACCTTATTGCAGAGTACATGCAAAAGCACAGGGAGAAGGAGGAGAAAAAGAAGGAGAGTAAAAGGAAAGGAGCCAGCGAGACCTCAGGAGAGTCCGAGGAGCGAGCAAGCAAGAAAAGGAAGGAGGAGGTGAGTAAAAGGGCATGGGGCTGGTGTGATGATTAGAGCTGCAGGGATTAACCGGTTTGACTATTAATCACGGTGTGAAACACTGCGATTACCCCACCGTGAAGATGTGTCCGACATCACAAATTTAAAATAAGTAATTAGCAAACCAAGATGAAAGCAAAACTAGATGCCTCGCAGCAGAACCAGCGACAACAACCACCGGGACTGCCCCGGTCCATTTCCACCTAGAACGCTGTAACGCTTTGTAGGTGGTTACATTTAATAAATTGCCAATAGAATACAAAGATAATCAATAAAATGTAAAATTCCATAAAAATATGGATTGTCAATATTATTGAACCTTTAATATTCGATTGTTGATGAAACTAGGTACTTTGGGTGTGCCAGGGAAACTGGATGATGTCATCTGTGATGTCTGTTTTTTTAAATGAATCTGGTTTTTTGTTTAATGTGGTTTAACAAGTTATCAAATTTAAATTAACTCATCCAACACCAGTGCAGAATTATGATACACTGTGTATTGATTCAAATCTCAAGAATCCATTCAATTCCGATATATCCGGCTGAAGATGTTCAAGTCCAAAAATGCTGCCTGACAGCATGTTTATGATAATCACAATTCTGAGAGAAGGATTGGGCCACGCCGCCGTTTTAAATGACCAATATTTCCTTAATTAGTTTGTTGTTAATAGTGTTGATATACTACACATCTACTTAGTCGTATAATTTTTTTTTTTTTTTTTTATACTTAGTCGTATAATTAAGGTACCAGCAGCAAAAGAACAGTTCACCGACCTGAATCGATATATCGGATCAAATCATATTGCGATAATCAATTCTAATTCTTGGGAATCAGAATCAAATCGATTCTTGAAATTTAAATCAATACCCAGCTCTAGCCACCACATATGTGACCAGATCTTATGGTTAAAGCTTGGCTCTGATTTTCTGTCATTCAGGGTGAAAAGGCCAGAGGTTTTGGGAGAGGACTGCTGCCTGAGAGGATTATTGGAGCCACTGATTCTAGTGGAGAGCTGATGTTCCTGATGAAGTGGTAAGTCCCCAGTGTTAAAGAGTTAAGTACCCATAAAAAGTATTCAGTCGGATATTTAAAATTTTACTTTCTGTTAGTATCAGTACATTTTAAAATGAGTTTTTGTTAAGAAATAGACAATTTCTATCTTTTACCGTATTTTCCGGACTATAGGTCGCACTTTTCTTTCATAGTCTGGCTGGTCCTGTGACTTATATACCAAATTATGTATACCGTGCTGCTGCGCCCTGACTGTTTATTATGTTATTGTTACCGGTTCTTGTCTTGCAATGTGAAACGCTTGTTCTCAGATTTTGGAAGAAAAATAATAAAAAAAATTTCCCCCAGAATGCGACTTATAGTCCGGTGCAACTTATAAATGTTTTTTTTTTCCTTCATTATACATTTTATGGCTGGTGCGACTTATAGTCCTGAAAATACGGTATGCTGTTTGCGTAGGATTTCGTACTACGTGAATTTACGTACTTTCTCATCAGACGGTCACGGGACATATCACTTTCATTTCTAGTGAAGTCCAACAGGATAATTCAGTACCAGTGAAAATGGAGAAGTGTATACTTTAGGGCTGAAACGATTCCTCGAGTACCTCGAATAATTCGAGTACAAAAAATCCTCGAGTCAAATTCTCTGCCTCGAGGATTCGTTTAATTCATATTTAATTAATTCATGGCTTTGCAATCGCCCGGGGTCATGTTTCACCCGGACCGAAATAAGTGACGCACATGCCCACTGGGCTGAATGCACACGCGAGTAGCGAACGTAACTTAACTTTCTCTTAAGCCATGGCGGACAACTTGAACCCCGGTGGAGTGCGAAAAAGACACAAAATTTCAAAGGTGTGGGACCATTTTTCACGTCGTAAGGTGGAAAACGTAGTCCAGTGTAAATACTGTAAAATGGATTTAGCCTACCACAACACCACATCCTCCGTGCTGCAGCACCTGACCAGGAAACATCCACATGTAAATGTCACTTCTGCAAGCGAACTCAGAGCCTCTTCAAGGTAATGCATTTTAGCCTGTATTTCTATATATTCTGCGGACACTGTGCGACTTTTTCATTTGTAGCACTCAGTTTCAGCTCACACCGTACGTCTGGTAGCAACACGTCTGACTTTTTATTGTGTTATTGATGTTCGTTGTCCCCCGGGATTGCTGCAGGAGGACACGGGTATTTATGAGTGGCGGAAGAAAACGAAAGAAAGTAAATAAATGTTTTGTGATCAGTATAATTTGACAAAACCACGGCAAACATGCTTTCGACAATCCTTGTTATTGTGTGAGAAAAAAGTGTAGAAATTAAAACGGACGTGTGTTAATAGGGAAACAGCCGGCGAGCTGTTTGCGCATGCGCCGTGAGCGGTTCTGGTTCTGTTTGGGCCGCAGCCGCTCGCAGCACTACTTCAACAGTTATCCTCTGGCTTGCAGGTTAGCAGATTCTCGCACGAGGGGAAAATCGGCTCAGGTTTACTTATTTTTTGCACAGGCATTTGTTTACTGTGAAGTAAAGTTGAAGTGCTGAAGTTTTGAAAACTAATTTTGAATAAAACTTGAAGAATAACTGGCAATTGCTTGCTCATTTTAAGAGGTCTTTCATAATTATAACATGCTATTTGATATAATGGTTTACAAACACAAAAGGGTAATTTATTAGAGTACTCGATTAATCGAAAAAAAGATTCGATAGATTACTCGATTACAAAAATATTCGATAGCTGCAGCCCTAGTATACTTGCAGATAATGCACCTTAAAATGACAGGTAGCATTTAGTGTCAGGGTAGCAGTGGAGGAGCTGTTTCCAAGGCAACAAGGGTGACTAATGTAAGCCATTATGTTCAAAATATTGTTTCAGTTGGTTTATTGTTTTTAGAGTGCAGTGGTGCCGGTAACACATTCTGTCCATCTGTTTTGGTCCACTTCCAGAGCCCTGGATAGTGACCGTTAATATGTACTCAGCAGCCAGCAACACAAACGTAAACTACGTGTTTTCTAGTTGGTCATACAGCAATGCTGAACAGTTTTAGAAAGAGGCTGAACTGCCATTTTTCTGCCAGAAATTGCAATTTCACATAGATTCATGATTTTCTTCCAATAAAAATTTATCACTTCACAAAAACTAGAGTGATGTTTACAACCATGACAGGAAAGGACATCACACCATCAAATAATTAAAATCTTTCCCCTTTTTTGTCTTTTTTTTTAACGTGAGTGCCTTGTGATCCTTGGGATTAGAATCCTGCAGGTCCCATAAGACCCAACGCAGATTTGAGGTAAAGGTCAGAAATTCAGTGGGATTAGATTTCTTCTTCCGGCTCTTGGAGAGTACAGACAGGTTTTTTTCTCCTCTCCCTCCCTCCTTATCCAAGGCTCTTTGTCCTGTCTGTGTACGGCGCTTCTGCATTTTTTCTGGAAACTGGAAATTATTAAACATGGATCTGGTCAGTTGGTTTCTCAACGCGATTGACAAATTTTTTTCAACGATGAGAACGAGAGAAGGGGCTCCCGGATGCCCCTCTGGGACAGATCCAGCTGGGCATATCATGGACTCCTGGAAACTGTGGAACCTGATCTGCCTCTCTCAACTGTCTGTAGAGGATTCTGAAGACGTCTGGATATTCGTCGTTTTGGTGTCGGGATTCCTGCTGTTTGGCCTGAGCGGTTACCTGGCTTACTGAATAATTAACGAGCTTTCGAGGAAAGCTCAATCCCGGAGCTCAGGGATAGATTACACCGCGCTGTGAACGCACAAACTCATATAATTGTCGAGATGAGTCGTAAGCTTGGATCTTTGGCTGAGATTCAGACTCTGGCACAGAAGGTTGATTCCATCAAGGAGCAAGTGGACGGATCAGCACGGATTGGGTAACTCTGAAGGGCCTTTTTTCCCTCCCATAAACCCTCTTGACCTATTACTTGGGCTGCATGGTGGCGCAGTGGCTAGCACTGTTGCCTCGCAGCACGAAGGTTGCAGGTTCGAAACTGGGCTCGGCTGCGGCCTTTCTGCGTGGACTTGTGTGTTCTCCCCATGCATGCGTGGGTTTCCTCCGGGTACTCCGGTTTCCCCCACAGATCACAACATGCCCTATAGGTTATAAATTGTAAGTCACTTTGGATAAAAGCGTCTGCTAAATGAATAAACAAACATTATCTCCCTCCCCTGTCCAAACGGAGGTGATGAGCGCTGCTCCATGCGGCTGCATTCACTGAAGTGAGGAGAGTCCCAACCCTGCCTCCCCACCTAGTGGACACTTATGTTGTGTAATGTCTGAAGTCTGTGTGCTTATCTGTCTGAGGTGTTTCTTTGCATAGCAAAGCTGCCCTCTCTGTTGAGGATAACTCTGAAGTGCCTTTTTCCCTCCCCCTGAATCTGTCCTCATATGAACCCTCTTGACCTATTAAGGTAGCACGAATGCGAATGACTACAGTCACCAACTCTTGTCATGAGTCTATGTATGTGTGTCTGATCTCAGAATTGTGTGTACTGAAACTAATTTCCCTCTGGGATTAATAAAGTATTTTTGAATTGAATTGAATTTAAAAAAAAAAGTCCCAGCGCAGCTCATCGCAATAAGAGGGTAATTGCAAAGTCTTCATCTCCAATACAGACATGAAAATCCCTCACCTTTCCGTGAACTTTGTTATTTTATCCTACATAGGCTCAGGCGTGGCGCTGCACCACGCATGAAATTCTAGTGCCACACCTACACCTAACACGGTACATGAGAAAAACAGGTAAAAACATTAGATGGGTAAATGGGTAAAACAAGAGATAAAGAGACCAATGAAAGCAGGGAATTAAAATCAACATCAATGAAGGCCTAACTCAGACACATTCAGGGAATGCCAAGCGGAGGAGGTGGGGTTTTTAGGCAACTCTTAAAGGCTGGCAGAGATGGGGACAGCCTGGCTGAGGGTGGCAGCTGGTTCCAGAGTGACGGGGTTAGGACTGAGAAAGCCCGGTCTCCGCGAGTACGACACCTACAACAAGGGACAGCGAGCAGGCCTTGGTCAGAGGAGCACAGGGCGCGTGATGGGGAATGTCTGTTCAGGAGTTTGGCCAGATAGGGGGGAGCACCACCCTGGAAGAAATTAAAAACAAAGACGAGGAGTCTGAAGTGTGAACCATAGCAAACCAGAAGCCAGTGCAGGGAGGCCAGAACCGGACTGATGTGGTCCCATTTCCTGGTCCCAGTCAGGAACCTGGCTGCGCAACCTGTAGGTGACGCAGTGATGACTGACCCAGTCCAGCATATAGAGAGTTGCAGTAATCAAGCCTAGAAATTACAAAAGCATGGAGTACTCGCTCCAGGTGGGCTCTCGACAGCATAGGCTTGATTTTTGCAAGGCGTCTCAGATGAAAGAAACTGGACCGGATCAGAGTTGATGTGAGCATCAAATTTAAGTCCAGCGTCAATTTTCACCCCCAAACTCGTGACAACTGGTTTTGAGTAGGGAGAAAGAGGGCCAAGATCAACATAACGACCCACAGCCCTGCTGTTGGGGTGAAAAACAATGAGCTTTGCCTTTCCCTCATTCAGATGCAGATAGTTGGCCATTAGCCAAGACTTCACTTCGTTGAAGCCAGGCGTACACTGCGACTTTTTCACTTTTTTGAGCCGATTTTCCACTCGTGCGAGAATCCACAAGATCGGGGCGAGTTTTGCGCAGAGCGTCGTGTAGTGTACAGGGGGTTACGAGAGGCGATTAACACCACGTGACCAGCTACTGATCAGCAATCGTGAGCTCACACAAACTTCTGGCGTGTTTAATATTTTGCTCGTCCCTCGTGAGGGTATCGCACTGTTGAAGCGGCGCTGCGAGCAGCTGCGACCCAAAAAGTATCAGAACCGCTCACGGCGCATGCACAATCCTGCATCAACACTGCTCGCCCGCTATTTCCCTAATAACACACGTTGTTTGTTTTTGTTTCTACACGTTTTTTTACTCACAAAGATTGTCAAGGAAGCGTGTTTTTTCGTGTTCATGTCAAATTAAAGTGA